AAAGTCACGATGCGGGCGGGCAGCCTCATCGCTGCGTGCACCCAGACAGCAGTGCATCACCACCACGCTGTCTCCGCCCAAACTACCTAGGTATTGTACCCACAGCGCACAGCGACGCGTTACAGACCGACTGACTGCGGGTCATGCTGTCCATGCGCACATCACCAGCCGCTCGTGTTGGGCGTGGTTGCTGATCCCTCTTTGTGAGCCATCCGTTTCGTCGAGCTTGCGCACCAGAAATATATAAGATCGGCTAAGGGGACCCTGCGGCGGCGGCGTTGGCCTGCCATTTTGGCTTGCATGGTATTTTGTAGATTGCCGTTGCCACCAATCCTCGCCCGTTGGCACCACCAGCACGCACACAGCCAGCGCCCGGCACACACAAAAGCCCTTTTCGAGCCTCGTCTCCAGCCCCTCACACTCCCTCGCGAGCGCCAGAGACCCTTAGATCTCGTGGGCGCTGACTCCGCACTATGCCATGACCAATGACGAAATTCTCGTTTGATCAGCACGTCACCCTGGCCGCTGAGCAACCGCTCACGGTGCTTCTATTCGACCTTTGCGCGCCGGGCCAAGATCTTCTTTTCGTGCAATATGACAGCCGTGATTCTGTCATAAGTGCATGGAACATTTCCCGCCTCCGCCGCGACTCTGTCGCACTTTGTCCAATCCGTACTTCTCCTGCATTGGACAACGGCGATCTCCAGGATCATGACGTTGAACGTTCCAACGTGAGAAAACATATTCGTCTGAGTGGCCTGCCGCTTCCCCATTATCAATAAGTTGTTTCAGCGCGCATAGCTCCACCTCGCCGGTACGATCCGCATCTCGCTAGGTTGCGACTTGCGCTGGGTGAGCTTTCTGAAGCATCCAAAGGTCACCGCTGTTCTGCTTCGCGACGATCCTTCGGGAACACGGCTGCTTGAGGCAAGACTGAGGAACGAGTGTCATTTTCCCGCGGGTATTCGAGTAGGACCGGCTGATGCCGGCCTTGCAACTACTATCTTTGCTTTATTCGGTCCGGCCTTGCGCAGCATGCTTCACCACGCGTCTACATACCTTGCCAGCGTGCCACTGCTGTTTTCAGTCGGCGACGATCCGCACGGGGTTTCAAGGCGACACACATGCTCTGTAACGTGAGAGCGACATCATGACAATTAACATTTCTGCGCGACTCGCATGGGAGTGTGACTGCATCACACTGTCCTTCCACTGGGATACCGTTTGCTTTGCTTTGCTTTGACTTCCCTCTGCAAAACTTTCTACTCCAACGTCTCCAACATCTCCGACATCTCCAACTCAACAAAACGGTCACCACAGCTCGCTTATTTCACTCAATCAATCGGTTTGCATGCTGCTAGCACTCTTCCCGTTGTCTCTGCATCATCGCTGGTCCGGCAATTCGCTGTAGGGTGTCCACTTTTCGTTCTTCGGTGGTTCTCCAGCAGATGGTACCTGAGTCATGCTCTTGCTGTCCAGGGTCCACCTGGTACACGCAACCAATACACTTGTATCGGTCCGACACCTCACTTGATATTTCAGAACAAGGCGACATCAATCACGACACTTCGATCATGGAAGGCTGCCGAACCCAGTAATCAATCGCTGCCGAACCAAGTCACAACATGCCGCTGTTGCGCCGGCGTGCGAGCAATTGTGGAGCTGCGGTTTATATGTCCGGTAGGGCTGCATTCGGAGACAGTGCGGCGATTTGTGTTGCAGAGTGACGCCGCTGGGATGTGGTGATGTAACTCGCAAAGGACGCCTGGTATGCATCACGGGGCATGAAGAGCTGGACGCGAGACACCGACAAATTCGCCGGTGGTGGATTCCGACAACCACGCGTCCCTATAACATGCGATATATACCTATTAGACCTGGCCTCTGGAAGAAACAGTATCCAGATGCCTCTGTGCACTGGACGAAAACTGCCTTCAACTCCGGCGTGCGAGGTCTATATATATCTACTTTGGAAACGCCAATTTCCCTTCACTGGATATAAAAGGTGACCGTCATTCGAAGAGACAGTCTTCAGACACGGTGTAGGTAGATCATAGAACACACCGACACCAGAGATATGTATGAAGCGCTGCCATATCGATTAGCAGTCTTTCCCCACTTGATTCGGATATGGCGCTTCCAGACCAGACAGCTGGGGATTCCCCGGATCCCCTGCGGCCACAAACATAGTTTTCTGAAGATCATCGTTGCCCATCTCCGTGGCCGAGGAGTCAAGACCATATGGGAACTTAATGAGGCAACTAAAGCGCCGACGCGAGGTCCCGACAAACTCTTTAGATTCTCTTATTGATCGCCATTCATCAACGATCTTCGGAGAACATTGGTCTGAGAAATCGGCGATCGATCTGCAGTTGCGTGAATGTAGTTGACCGCAATCTCCAGATAAGGGTTCGTGGAGACAATCTGGTGTCGCGGCATTAAGCCTCACCCTCATCTAGCCTTCCAGCCTCATATCAAGCCCTGAAGGTACATCAACCATGTAAATGCGATTTAAAGTCAGGAAAAATCAGTTGCCATGCGTCCCAGCTGTTCGCAGCTATGCTTTTGTATACGACGGCGCGTGCATTCATCTTTTTGTATCCTATGTGTGACGAGTCAAAACATGACCATGGTGCACGAAGAACAGTTCGTCAGCAGTACACATTTCTCAACTCTCGAGCGTGAGCGGAATGCGAAACACCCATGTGGGCGATATGGTCCAGGATACCGTGTTGGACAGCCCTCGGCATTGCGTCACTGCCAACTCCAACTCCTGGCCCAAGCTCAAGCTGTCTCTTAACAATCTGGACGCGAAAACTCCAGTGTAGCGACAGCGACGTGTAGTGAAGCGGTGATTTGTTTGCAGAACGTCCATCGCACATACCTCATTAGACCTGGACTTTGCACGTTGCTGAGTAAGAGCTCGCAGCTACCCCACCATGCACGGCATCCTCGAGCTGTCGCTGCAGCTCCTCAACTCGTTTAGCCCGGCCAATCTCGGTGCGTACGCCTCATCCACTAGCCACCTACTGTTGCTGTGGCTTCAATTAACAGTCACTAATTATGAACAGGTCGATCTGGGGCTCAAGTACCTCTTCAAGGCGAACAGGTGGTGAAGTGTCGGTACTCCCTAATCTTACTGGTTAGGCCAGCAGATTGAAGCAGCAACTAACAATCGCACAGCAATACCAACAAAGTCATCTGTTCCAGACTACTTTGTCACGGACGATGGGCACTTCCAAGGTCCTACCAAGACGGGCGCTGCACCGTTCATGGCGCAGACAAACCTAGCACCTTTTGCCGGCGTGTCATACATTCCAAATACGCCTCTGGAAACACAAATCCCCATTGCTGGCAATGCGGAAAACAAGAACATATTCCAAAGTATGGCAAACATCAGCCCTTACTTCCCTAATCCCCGAGGCTTCGGAGTAAACGAGTACTCTATACCGCCTGGCACCAACGTAACATGGCTCAACATGGTCCATCGCCATGGAAGTCGGTACCCCGAAGTCAGTGGTGAAGCTGCAGAGCGGACTCTAGGGAAGAAGCTCACGGACGCGGCTGGCAAGTTCACAGGTCACGGACCCCTTTCGTTCCTCAACGATTGGCAGTTCCTACTGGGTGCTGAGATCCTCGTTCCCAATGGCAAGCAAGAGCTATTTACTTCTGGAACTCTGCACTACTACCAGTATGGCCACTTGTATCCCAACAATGGAAGCAAGGTTATCGTCCGGAGCACAACCCAACGACGCATGACCGAGTCGGCGGAGTACTTCCTTGCCGGCTTTTTCGGTCTAGGCTGGGCGCAAAATGCAACGCTTGAGCTGGCAATTGAGGCGCCTGGCTTCAACAATACGCTTGCTGGCTACAAGCAGTGCAACCATTCGAGTTGGCCGACGGCGCGACAAGGGCTCATGGAATGGATCGGCGTGTATCTTCATGATGCCCATCAGAGGTTCAGAAGCAATATCACCGGTGACCTTGACTGGACGATCACCGATACGTACAACGCTCAAGCTTTGTGTTCGTACGAGACAATTTCGCTTGGCTTCTCTCACTGGTGCGGCCTGTTTACCTACCAGGAGTGGGAAGGCTACGAGTACGCCCTGGATCTTTCATTCCAGGCAGGCACAGCATTTGGCTCTCCAGTCGGCCGTGCTATTGGAATTGGTAGGAACTGTCGATGCCTCTTCTACCTCACTATACTAATACTGCACAGGCTACGTGGAGGAAGTCCTCGCCCGCATGCAGCACCACGTTATCACCTCACCTTCTGCCCAAATCAACGTAACCCTTGACAACAACACGGTCACATTTCCCATCGATCAGAACCTGAACCTGGACTTTAGCCACGACGCCGGTATCATCAGTATTCTTGTCGCATTCGGCATCACGCAGTTCAGCGAGGTACTTCCCACAACCCATATCAAGACGCCCCGCGAATTCATCCTCTCGCATCTCCAACCGTTCGCTGGTCGTCTCGACATCGAAGTCATCAAAGCACCTGCGCCCGTCAACCCTAACCGGACGGACGAGAAGATATATCTTGACGGGCCGCCGACGAACTACGTTCATTTCATTCTCAACCAGAGAACTATTCCACTGGGTCGTAGTCACAAGGAATGTGGTGATAGAGACGACGGATGGTGCGAGATGGAAACATTCCTGAAGGTCCAGCAAAAGCAGATTGAGCTTGCGGATTACGACTTCGCTTGCTTTGGAGAGTACGACGATCCGACGTACGGAGAGGTCACAGACGGAAGGCCGCTGAGATAGGCGCTGGGATGCCGTTGAGAATGGGACCGGGATAATGATTTGGATACGTCGCGATGACAAGATCTTTGTTGCTAATGAATTGACGCCATTGAAGGCTCATCGTCGAGTTCTTCTATTCGGGACTTCGCTATGCTGGTAACCATACGTTTCGGCAAGGTCTTGTTCGCTCTTGCAGCTGCCAATAGCACAGCAACAAGTCCCCGGCTTGTCATCATTCTTGCTCAGTATCCAAAAGGTTCCTCATCATAATCAAAATCGTCATCCGAGTCGTCCATCGCACCCCAGACACCAACGTAACGCACATAGCCAGGCAATCCTTTGCCCTCCAATTGGTTGCCTGGAAAGCAGAGCTCCAAAACACCCTCACCCAAGAACGTGACTTTACAATCAAAGGGGTCCAGTGCCACGGTGCCATAGGCTGTCATGTCAACAGGGTCTTGCGATGCGAACTGTGGAGGGCTGTTGATGTTCATCCAAAACCCGTCCTCCGGTTCGTCCATGAGATTGAGCCTGACTCCAGTCTCTGTATCACCTTTAGGTAACATTGGCTCCAAGTGTTGCCTGCCAATTTTGAGGGTTCCGGCTTCCCAGTCATCGATGTTATCTCCATTTTCCCACCACCGCTCTGGATTCTGAGCGTAGAAGTCCAAATGTTGAGACGAGAGAAGCGTATAGTTGCCGCTGATGTCTCCCAGAGATATTTTCTCGCCACTTCGTAGTCTTTCCTTGAGAGCTTGTGCTTGATTTTCGAAACGGGTTGCTTTGGTCTTGTGTTCGGCAATGGCATTTTGATGATATACGTCTTCAGGTTCTCCTAAGCCGTCGTAATCCTCTTCGTCGTCCATTTCTGTTTCTTTGTCTTCGTACTCTTCTTCGTTATTTACAACCGGTGTCTCTTTGAGAGTATGTAAGCTTTCATCTCAATAAGAGTGGTGGCGTCATACCATTATGCCCGCCAAACCCTCTCGGACCGTCGTGCTTGTGCTGCGTCGCCATACTGAGACGGAACGAAGCTCTTCTGGTTTGAACACTCCAGGGAGCGGACTATGATTCGATTCTTTGATGATGCAGTTCTATGCGCAGATGGAAGACGTGGATTCGTTGATGAAGAAAGAGACACTGTGGTGCTTAAGGTCAGGTTGAGTGTCGCGCCGAGAGGCGTTGCATTGTCTGTGGTCCACCAAATGTAGTGCATTGATCCGGTTCAACGCCACGACGTCATCGTGCGTTAAAATCACAGTCAGAAATCTATTTGTCGGTGTTGTCGGAAACGACGAAGATTTATATTCGCTTGTGGCTAATGACACTCGAATGACAGTTCCTCAATTCCAGTCCTGCTACTTTATCCAACTCGATAGTTTCAAGTCGACGAACATCCAGTTCAAGAAAGTCGGCCCTGTCTTCTCGTCTACCTCAGGACACCAACATATCGAATGGTATAAGGCCGAGCTTTATCTGGCCAATGGCCGCTCTCTTCTAGTATCTCTCCAGGTACATGCAAGTCCAGCAGGCCATTCCCGATAAATGTTACCCAGCAAGGGTCGCCCTCCGGGTCGGTGTACTCGATACCATTAAGATTTCCTGTGAGACGCTCTGGCGAAGCGAACTTTGGAGTTTCGATGACCATGCTGAATTCATCGGAAGCATCCAAGAGCTTGATTTTAATCTCAGTGTATGTGCCATCCTGTACGATTCTGAGCGTTCCGACCGACCAGTTCGTGATTGTTTCTTCGTCAAGCTCGCGGATGGGTTGCTTTTCGTAGAATTCGAGGTACTGGGATGAGAACAAGGTCCACTTGCCATCGATGGGAGCCAGGGGGGTCTTCTTGTTCTTATGCCACCTATCAAAGAGGGTGCTCTTTTCTTCCCTTACTAGTGTCTCATATCGGACAGCTCTGGCTGTGTGGTAGGCAATGGCAGCTTCAAGTACTGCATCATGCTCCTTTCTTGCTTCCTCCTCGTACCGTTCAGCTCTCCTTTTGTGTGTTTGGATGGTCACTTGAAGCTCTGAATGCTCTTCTTCACTCTCTTCGCCCAATTCATCATCTGCTTCACTCGGCTCTTCGTCTTCTTCGTCTTCCTTTTCATCGTCTTCTACTTCTTGCGGTTCTTCCTCGCTCCCGGTCGCTTCGCTTCCATCAGAGCTCCCCGAATCATAGCCCCCGTAATCATAGAAGTCATCGAGCACTCCACACTGCGCCATAGCCATCTTCACCCTCTTGTTGTTCGCCGGGTGCATATGCCCAGTGTACTTGCAGTTCTACCATTCGAGACTCGCCTCCTCAGCTTCACGCTTCACAGCTTTCCGATCTTGGAACATGATCCCAGCAAAATAAATATCATCCATGCGCAATTCTAAGAAGCCATTTCCGAGAAAGTTGATATTGATAGTGAATTGTTTCTCGTCACCATCTTCGAAGATCTTGATAGATTCCGGATTCAGGGATGCATAGTTTGGTTTGTTGAACCCGGGTGGCGAGGCTTGCGATGGCCCACCGTCGATGTCGAGCTCCATCCCCATGTCGCCGACGCCGTAAGGCGCCATAGTCTCATCGATAAGGTGCTTTGCAAACTCGATCGTTCCGACAGGATCCGTGAAGTCGTTGTCTTCGAGTTCTCGGCATAACTTGTGCGCGTAGTCTTTCACCCATTGCGAGGAGTAGAGATTCCATTTCCCGCGTATGTCGCTTATCCGCTGCCGTTTCCACGGTTTCCGCCCAAGAGCTTCGGCCGCAGCTTTGACTTTCGCTTCTTCTACAGCCTGCCTTTCCATCTCTCTCTTAAGGATATGTTCAAAGCCATCATCTTCGTCGGTTTCATCTGGGCCTGAGCTCTCGGCTTCTGGTTCTGTCAGGAACACATATCCACTCGCAGAAACTTCGTACTCTTCGTCTTGCCTCCGTGGTTTTGCACTCATTTTCGACTTCGGCTGCTTTGGGATCGCGACACGCAGCAGTCTCCGAAATCTTCTGGGATGGACGATTGAATAAGCGAACCGGAACGGATGCAAGTCCCTGACTAAGCCACATTCGGGTAGTGACGTAATCACCAAGAAGATATTTGCGCCAGTACCAGAACGCGTTGGCGGCACGTGGGGCACCGCCCGGGCGCGCTTTCACGTCACCAATGTTGCAAAGGCAATTTCGTTCCACCTTACCAGCTGGGCAGTGGTCTTCTAACACTTTCTCATAGACTTCTGCATCTGACTTCGACGATATGGCACATACGTGCAGTGCAACTTCGCTCCTGCCCAGAAGATATGAACAAACAAGCAAAACTTCGAAAGCGCCACCGGATCCCCAGAAACCCGTCAAGATTGCGCGCCCATACTCATCATGTCTAGGGGTATACAAGCGTCTCAGAAAATCTCCAGAATGTTCACTCCGACCCATGTAGTCCTGGACCCCAGCGGTTCCCTAATACAATGCGCCAAATTATCAACTTCGTATCGCGAATCCCATTCCTGAGTTTCGCACACCCTCGCACACCACAGCCAAGTGCAGTGGTCTACCTCACTTCCGTCTCTCCACTTCGTGCCAACATTTCCATCTTCAGCTTCTCCAGGTCCAAGTGCGGAGCAACCTTGTTCGCCCACCAAAGCGCCACCCAGCCTCTGCTCGTCTCCTTCAGCTTTTCCGCCAACATCTGCTCCTGCTCTTGTTCTGCTGAAGCCTCATCGTACTGCTTCTCCATATCCTCGCGCGACATGCCAAGGAAGCTAGTATTCACCTTTTCGCTGAAAGCATCCGATGCCCATACGCCGGGTGTGTAGGTTGGAGTTGTGCGATGGAACTTAGGTCGCGGGCGATGGTTTTCGGCAAGTGTATGTTCGGCGTGGGGCAGCACAACTGCAGTGCGAGAGAGCGGCTGGAAGGGCGAGGGATTGACGACGTAATGATGCTCGGGTGATATAGTCACCGAATCTGTTGTGCGGGCCCGTTTAGGCGATGGTGAGGCGGATTGGCTGCCTGGAATGGTGCGAGTGCGTAGGCGCTTGAGGATCGATTTCGGGACCGCGGAGTTATGCTCGGATGCCAGCGGGGTCGCAGTTATTGCTGTAGCTGCGGGATGTGCGTCTAACTTCTCTCCTAGTTCTGGTTCTGGTACTGAAATCCACCGAGACTCCGGTGGCTGACTGCGCAAAGCTTCCACTAACGGATCCAGTCGAGTCGACTCCGGCATCGTGAGCACCTCCTGCGGTTCGTTCAATCCTGTTGCGGACATAGATGATGTTACCTCGTCTCTCCACTCTTCATCCATCTCTTTCTCGATCACCTTCCTCAACCATACCATCAATAAACGCGCACCCTCCTTCTCCAACTTGGTCGGCTCTCCCTCTTCTGCACCGTCAACGTATCTTAGACCCGGCACTCTACCCAGCAATACCTTCTTGTAGTTCCAAATATTGAGCGCTTCTCTCAGCTTGGTCAGATCCTGGACTGGCACACTTGTGTCGTTGAGTAAGTCTTCGAACAGTTCCACAGTATTGGTCAGTGCAATTTTTGCCCTGCGCCAGTTCCTTCTGACGGCCTTGTGGCCAGGGCTCGCATGGTCGCCTTTCCCGCCTTCTTTGGACTGGAAAAGACCACCGCGCAATTCAAACTGTTCCTGTACAGCCTCGATGTCTCGGGCTTGTGAAATTATCATGCATGATGGACAGAGCTGCGGCGAGGGGAGCCTGGAAGCAAGAGTGGTCGGTACGGGGTGTGCGCATGTGCTTAGAACAGGCGTGGCAGGGTTGAATCGTACCATCTTGGAGGAGCCGTGGGTGTTGAGCGTCGGGGTTTAGTGGACGAGTTGCTGCATGCGACAGTTTGCTGCGGCTCTGCGTGAGCAAGGGTCACCTGTGTCTGTGCGTTAATGTCCTTCTTGTCTCAGATAGGAGAAGCGAGTTGAGGTCCAGGCTGCTACAACATGACGTAATAGTGGAGTTTCAAGTGAATAACCACGGTACTGCGATGACCTGTAAACGACGAGTCACGCACAACCCCCATAATGCCAATGAAATAACGGTGATAAGCCCCCTTTCCACGAGGGGCCCCAAAGAAAGAGGTGTGAAGTAGAGTAGCAGAGCTATCGTATGGCTTGTTAAGATGGATAGAAGCTGGGTCCATCAGCATGGTAACCAAATTCGGCCGGCCTTCACGGAGACGCACCTCATATAAGCGTAAACTGAACATACGCGCTGAAGTCGACGTTATTATCAAAACGCAAGTCTGCAAGTTCTTCCGACAATGTAGTCTTACCAGTCATTCGTTTTCGTACTTCGTTGACGGGGATGGGCATTTGATCCTCGAGCGTACATGAGATCGGGTGGTAATGCCAGGTACAGATGGAACCGGTAGAAAGTGAAGTCGGTAGTTACCACATGAAACCGCCCGACTTCAGAGCGCCGCTTTCCATATTTCTTTCTGGAAACGTCCGATATGTATGAGACAGCTAAGGAAAGAATAGGAGTGCTTGACCAGCCAACCCGAGAGGTAGCCAGCTTATGACGCAATGCATCCTTTTAGTCACCGTGATGGCATTCTGTCTGATTACACCCGCTACCTGAAGTTCACAGGCTGTCCATCTGAAACACATGTACGCATTCACAAAGGCAAGGCCAAAGTACATGCTCCCAAGACGTGCCGACGGAATAAGCAAGACTGTTGGTGGAAAGGTTCGGCGACTCGTGATGGCAATACAGATAGGAGACCAGAAAGAAGCAAAGAAACAGTCCAACGGTGATGTCATGGATTATATTGCGAGGTCTAGTATGCCGATAGAGCCGAGTGAGGGAGATCGATATATAACGGGAAGAGATGCCCACTTGGCGAGGCTGAGGCCGAAATGTCGCAGTACGTCCAACCCAGCATTCTAACGAGGTACAAGCTCTTCCAGTCCATATCGTGAGAATCCACTCACTATCCATTTTGGAGACATGAACGCAGGTCTTGTACCAGACATCGCAACAGGTACGCCACGTGCCAGCTGCGCAATACGATGTACATGCGCTTGCCTTGCCAAAAAGTTCGGCCAGTCCACCATGGCTCCTCACACGCGCTCCAAGACGAGTCGGTACTCTACCAGCAAAAGCATCGCAATCCTTCGTAGATTGGTCCGGAGCAAATAACCGTGCAACCCATTCTCCATCGGCATGATATATCTTCCGCACAGCTGAGGCACGTGGCGCGGTACGGCTCTCCCGTGGCTGCCACGATATTCCACACATGGCCGGACATTACTCGCTCATGGAAAAGTAAAGACCAGTCGGTAGTGCAATTGAATGACACCATGTGGGCGACGACAGTTGGAGTCCTGCTGTAGAGAAGAGGTCTCGAGGTGGGGGGTCCCATGCAGGCAATACGCTAGTCAAGGCCGCGGCAAAAACGAGGCTGGGATCACGCCACGAAGAGAGCCGTTGCATGAGCACCAACACACGCGCCACGAATACTGCATCGCATCGCATCGCATCGCATCGTCCATCATCGACCTTCAGTCTTGCGAATTGCAGCAATATGCATTGCTGATAGTCAGTGATAGAGCAGAGAGGATAGATACGCATGGTGTGGACGTGATCGTCGTACCGCAATCTTCGCATCCATGGACGATCGTTTAGATGAGGGGCCGCATGAGAACCGTGGTACTGCTCCGGGACCTCATAGGGGAACTGTTGTACAAATAGATTCCGCGGCGCCTCGAGTAAGAGCAACACAGAACAGCATGTCGACTTCCTCATGGCTGTCGTCATTGACGCTGCATGGATCCAAACCGCCGGTTATGCTCAAGGTTAGAAGCTCGGATGCATTCATCATCGGGACTGTGTCTTTGGCCGTCTTTACAGTAAGTCCTCAATGCAGGTGTAGCTAGGTGCAGAACAAGAGCTGATTCAAGAAGGACATGTTTCTGTACGGCGTCATTGTACCCGTCATCCCATTCGCAATACGTTCGCGTAGTCACATTGAGGAGGACCAAGTTCAATACTGGGTCTCGGTACTGGTAGCTGTATATGGCGCCGCTCTTCTTGCATTCTCGCCCATATGCGGATGGCTTGCGGACCGCGGGTCGACGCGTCGCTTTCCGCTTCTTCTGGGCTTGTTCGTTCTCCTAGGATCTACAATCCTGCTGAACCTTGGCAAATCGATTGGAGCTTTGATTGTCGGAAGGCTCCTGCAGGGGGCTTCGGCAGCTGTGGTATGGGTTGTTGGTCTGGCCCTGTTGGCTGATACGGTGCCCCAGGAACGACTCGCAACTGCTGCTGGGTGGCTGACCATAGGCATGTCGATCGGAATGCTCATATCGCCTCTACTCGGTGGCATAGTCTACGACAAGGCTGGTTATAATGCCGTCTTCGGCATGTGCTATGCATTAGTCGGCTTGGATGTGATTCTCAGACTGTTGCTCGTGGAGAAGAAGGTGGCTGCGAGATGGGACGCAACAGTCATGGGACGCTCATCTGGCGAGGGAGACGCATCCTCAGAGGATAAAGAACTAGGCTCCATCGCCATCGCAAGTCGAAGCGACAGCTTAGGTCTCACCAGGACGGCAACTCAGCAAGACGCGGAGTCTGCTGAAGCGCACCAAGAAAGTCCGCCTCGGCAACGTGTGCGCGATCGCCTTCCTCCCGTGCTTTCACTCCTGTATTCCCGACGCCTGCTTGCCTCGCTATTCTGTGCGCTCATTCAAGCAACATTGTTGACGGCCTTCGACTCTGTCCTCGCCATCCACGCCGCCAACACATTCAACTGGTCCTCGACAGGCGCTGCGCTTCTTTTCCTTCCGATCGTCATACCGAGTTTCCTCTCGCCGTTGTGGGGCTGGTTGAGTGACACATATGGAGGGCGCTATGTGGTTGTCGTGGGCTTTCTTGGGGGATGCCCTCCCCTCGTCTGCCTCCGGTTTGTAGATGAGAACACGATGAAGGACAAGGTGCTG